GCATGCTTTTTCTCATCTGAAAAACTTCTCCTTTAACATTTGTATTTGCTTTGGTAATTAATTAACATAATTTGAAAATTAATTGCAAAATTATCAGCAGCAGAAAATAAATTTATCACATTACATTTCAATAGACGAAAAGAAAAATTAACTTAGTGGACGAAAAGCTGTTTACTTGTTTTGCAAATATTTAAATAAAATAAAAAAAGAAAAAACAAAGAACTTGGTCTTAGCACTACCTTTATTGGAATGTTTTCGCATGACAATCACAAAATCTATGTCAGTTTTCGTTTCTTTATTACCTAAATCTTCAACTTTACCAATCGAATGTAACCGAGGAAAATTAATTTTGAGTATTGAATTATTTTTTAATTCGATTTCCAATATGTTCGTTAATGTAAAATTTTATTATTTTATTTTATTACCCACTTTCTTTGCATGCCTTTTATTCACTTCGTTTCTACTTCTTTTATTCATTTTTAAATGTTTTTTGCTCATTTTATTTGTGCATATTTTATTACGTTTTGCATGCCTTTTACTTAGTGTCTTTGTACACATATTATTGTCAACTTTATTTTTTCATGCTTCTTACCTACTTTATTTGTCGTAACTTTATTTTTGCATGGATTTCATTACCTGCTTAATTTTTGCACTCTCTTATCTACTTTGTTTGCACACCTTGCTGCTTACTTTATTTTTATATGTTTTTACTTACTTTATTTGTACATATCTCATCATTTATCTTACTTTTGCACGCTTTTTACTTTCTTTCTCACACTTCATTATTCATTTTTGCATGCCTTTTGCTTACTTTATTTATGGAAAATTTGTCACCAACTCTATTTTTCAAAGCCAACATATTTAATTTCTAATTTTATTTTTGCATGCCTTTTACTTCCTTTTTTCGTGCATATTTTATCATTTATTTTCCACATCTTTTGTTCACTTTGTTTGTACGTATTTTATTACTAGTTTTTACCAACTTTATTTTTTTTTACCAACTTGAAATTTACAAATGAAATGCTTTTCATTTACTTAGTTTGTGCATGTTTTATTACTATATTTACCTTAACATGCCTTTTACATACTTTGTTTGTGCAAATTTTATTTTTATCTTTACTTTTGTGTGTCTTTCACCCGCTTTATTTCTGGAGCTTTCTTATTAACTTTACTTTTGCATGTATTTCTCTTAGGTATTTACAACTTGTACACCTTTTGTTTTTGTAGCTTCATCCATTACGTTGTCCGTATTATAGAATGTGTTAAAGATGCACATCGCTAACTGATCGTTAATCAATAATCGAACCACTTCATTGAGTAGCTTTGGATATGAAATGAATCAAATTCTGTAAAAAAAGATGCATATTATTAATTAACGTCATGAAGGACTTGCACCCTTAATTAATCCATTTGTTGAATGTGAATATTCTGATGTTATCCTCAATTAACAGTTCGAAGTTATCGGGTATATTATTTAATCCTTTAGAATTTTCCTGCAGCACAGATAAATGGTCATTAAAAAGCAGTGAATTGATCGACACACAGAACTTTGGAACACATAGTTTGAGACGTCGACGCGCTAGCATTTACTCATGAAACTACTTTGGTGCAAGCAAAAACAAAGTCTCTCACAATCGCTTACAACAGCAACGGAAATGCGCATGCTTAAAGGTTCGTTAATATTCATGTTTTGAGAACTTTTGACTATAATTTCATCTCTTTCAAGTATCTTTCAGTTTAGTGAGATGTAGTGAATTAGCCAATTAGGCGCAAAAGTAATATACACCGGAATTATTCAAAAGAGCTAACACAAAATTCTCACAAAATAATTTAGGATCATGCGATCTTGAGCAAGTGATACAGAAGTTACTCAGAAAGAGATAGGAAGAAGATGAAAGGGGTACCGCACTTGTGGATTGAAGGAAGGTAATGATTGAAAAGTCAGTTGAAAAACAAGTCCTTCAATCTTCAAAATGGTTTAAATGCAGTATTCATTGAGATTATATCAAAGAGTGCTTAAAGGCGGAAATTGAAATTGAAATTTTTGTCGAATCGTCATGGTATAAAGTCCTTTTATTCTCTTTGAAAAAAAGAGTTTGATGAACTAACGAAGTGGATGAAAGCAAATGTGAAGAGCGCTGAATGTAAAAAATGTAAGCGCAAAAATCTTGAAGCAAATTAATTAACAAATTTTATATTACTTTGCTTCCTTGATTTGTTTTTTTTTCTCCTTCCTATTTTCATCTTATCATTTGAATATCAGCTCCCACTTTTATCATTCTATGGCATAACCGCTTATCGTTTGAACATTTCCTACTCTAACATAACATAACATAAAATAAATAAATAATAAATAAAAAAATAATAAAATAATAAATAACATAATAAAAAAATAATAAAATGAAAAAAGTAATAAAATAATAAAAAAACATAACATAAACAGCATATTTTTTTTCGTGGGGAGGTGTCTAGTTATTTTTATGCGGTCTCTTGATTACTAAAATTCTGCGAATCATCCCAGTTAATTAATTAGCAACTTCCACGTATGGAACCGTTGCGACACCACCTAGTAAGACTTAAATAGATTTTGATATCGAAATACAGAAACTGAAACTTTGAACTTAATACTGAAAAATACTGAAATAAGGTACGGATCGAAGTACCTGAAACGAAATAATGTAAGTAATCATTTAGTTCGTCACCAATAAAAGTAATGAGAATCGTAAGGTTTGATACAAAAAATTTTCTTTTTCGACATAGAACGTTACTGCAATTATAAATTCGCATTTAAGCATTGTAGTAAAGATGGATGCATTGCATATTGAGGTATGGATAGATATTAATGGTAAAGGTTATCACTTCTCGCTTTATATTTTAATTTTATGAGTTTGACAATTAGGTGTTTATTACTTAAATGAGACAGCTCAAGTGAAGTGATAGAACCTTAGTAAAATGAAACAGTATGAATGTGATCTATGATCGATGATCGATCAAAAGCAAATGGTTTAGTTTTATTATGAAAATTTGATAAAATCACATTTTAAGTTCCATAAATAACCAATGTTTTCGATGGTAAAACTGAATTTATTCATTGCAATGTGGCAAAATTTCGT